ACATAAAATCTAATGTGTTCCTTATTTATGTGTAGTCTTCACTGAATAATGATATTAACTCTGTGATATTGAATACACATATTTTCTCTAGGTAGTATTTTGCTTTGTTTCACTTTCAAGTTTCTAACTTCATGCAGTAAAATATGCTATAATTTTCTTCTGTGATTTATCTTTGGCTTGAATATTTGATAAATATTTAATTCCATTTTATTTTTCTAAAATAAAGTTCCATTTTACTCTAAATTTAAGAATATTTAAAAAATATTATTTAAGCCATCAGATTTACATTCATGTATTTTGAGAGTGGTCTAATTTTGTTTTTCTAGACTGACAGTCAGCTATCCAACCTTTCAAACACTTACTGGTTAAATTTTCCCTTTTTCAAAATATATGCTCATATGGAACAGGTTCCATCCATTGCTATCTACTCTGTTCTTATCCAGGTATCTACTTTTAAAAATTGTTGTGGTAAAATATACATAACATAAAACTTACAGTTTTAGTAATTTTTCAGCATACCATTTAGAGGCATTAAGTACAATCACATTGTTTTGCAGACCATCTCCACAATCCGTCTCCAGAACCTTTTCCATCATCCCACATGGAAACTGCCCCATAAAACACTAATGCCCAGTTCCCAACCCCTCCTCCCAGGACCTACTCTTGACTTTTGTTTCCTTATATGACATTACATGTCAGGTAAGGCTAGTTCCTCCTTTCAGTTTTCTTATTAGATCATTTCTTGTTAGATCAGTTTTCTTGTTAGATCATTATATTGCTGATAATTTATTTCACCAAAATGTATTCTTTAGTCTCATTTTGTAAAGTTCCAAGTAAAATCCTGTTCAGGATGTATTTAGGGAGAAGTGACTTCATTACAACATCTGGTTTTCCCATCCAATAGCATGTTACGTCTCATATTCAGATTATCTTTTTATACCTCTGAGCAGTTTTATGCCTCTTCCATATATATCACTCACATTTCTTCTTTAAAAAATTATTTATTTAGTTATTTAGAAATGGGGTCTTACTATGTTGCCTAGACTGGTCTTGAACTCCTGGGTTCGGGCTGTCCTCGTGCTCTCAGCCTTCTGAGTAGCTGGGACTACAGGAACACACCACTGTACCTGGTGCCACTCACAGTGCTTATTAGGATAATTCTGAGATACCTTTTATTTTTGCTGCAATTATGATGGCAGTTTTTTTCCCTTCCGTTACATTTTCTAATTGGCTATTGTTGATGAATAAGTGCTGGATTTTTCTATTTTTATCTTGGTCTTGGTCACTCTTATGAACTCTAGTAGTGTTTTAGAAATACTGAATATTGGCCGGCCGTGGTGGCTCACGCCTGTAATCCCAGCACTTTGGGAGGCCGAGGTGGGCAGACCACCTGAGGTCGGGAGTTCAAGACCAGCCTGACCAACATGGAGAAACCCTGTCGCTACTAAAAATACAAAATTAGCCGGGTGTGGTGCCGCACACCTGTAATCCCAGCTACTTGGGAGGCTGAGGGAGGAGAATTGCTTGAACCCGGGAGGCAGAGGTTGTGGTGAG